TGGCATTTGTTCACAAACATCTGGCATCTAGTTTGTCAGAAAAATCGTATACACCTACCCATCTTAACATAATAGATGTTGATGAATTGACCTACACAAAATTTAATAAACTTTCTAGAAAAATGACAAAGATGATGTTTGGAATGGGTGGATCTTATGAAGAAAAGATTTATGTTTTGGAAGTCATTATAAAAAATATTGTTATCGAGATAGCAAAAAGATCGCCCAAAGTACTGTACAAGCGTAGAAATAAACATAAATCAGTTGCCAAGAAGGAGATTAATATGGATTTTTTTTTATCGAACTAATACTAATATTTGAAAATTAAAATAATATATTTATAAAGCACTATATTCTTTACTTTATACCACTCATAAAATGTTAAAGGTTTTCGCAAAAGGGGGAAATGCTACTATCAAGTCTCTAAGTTATTATTTTTGTAATGCTAAAATATTTTAATGCACATGCATAACCAAATACTGTTAGATTTCATGTGGCAGATTACTTTAACCTCATGTTTAAAAAACTTCCTGCCAAAGAACTCATCAAGATGACTTCATTATTTAATTTTTTGCTATGTGTTAGGCACTTCCCGCTCAACTGGAAGATAGTAACAGCCATTCTAGTTAAAAAAAAACAGTAAAGGTCAAAACAAATTCTGGTAACTGTAAAGACCGATAAGTCTATTAACCTCCTTATCAAAAATAGTCGAAAAAAGGGAACACACTACACTACACAACTATTCACATATCGCAGATCTTATCCCGAAATTCTAATTTGGATTTCAATCTAACCACTCGACGATATCACCGTACGCTGCAAGCTGTTTCGTATAACGGAACGTCGGAACATACCAGTATTTCGTTTGAAAAGCACTGCCATATCGGTGCTGTGTTTATCCACGTCTCTAAAGCGTTCGACAAAGTATGGTACGACCATCACCATCTTTTATACAAATAAATTATATTTTATTTAAAATTCTTCAATACATCAAAACAGGGCTTGCAAACGTTATAATAACGTTATGATTATAAGTTATAACGTTATATTTTATAAAAAACGATTGAAATTTGTAAACGTAATTATAACGGAAAACGATAAACGTAAATAAATAAATAACATAAAACAAAATGTAACGTTTAACAAAATATATGATGTATCATTAAACAAAACATAACGCAAAACGGTATATTATATTGTATTCCATTAAACGAAATAATTAATTCCCAATTATTTAATAATACTTGGTGCAGTCTATAGCACCGATGACTCTTGGAAATTTAGCTTTCTGATAGAACATCCTTTGAGTCCTTTTAATTTCTTCATCTGTCTCAGGGAATAAAATATAATCTCGCCACAATGAAGCTATGGCCCGACTGACTTTATGCACTATCCTATTTACTGTCGCAGTACTGACACCACATAGGTCTCCTGCTGTCCCTTGAAAGCACCCGGTTGCATAAAACCTTAGGGTACATAGAAGTTGGTTGATTGGAGACACGCCGTTATTTCTGTACAAAGTAAACACATTTATTTTTTACAAACATTTTAAATTCAAAATTGGACACAATTACGTATTAAAACCAAGAATAACAATTTTAGTTTTTTTGTTATAATTTAAAAATATTATTTGTTGGTGTATGAAGCTTTTAGAGTGTATTGTTATATTTTATATAATATATTCAATGGCATTTAAAAATGTAATTTTTTTGGGAAAAATAAATTTAACCAATTATAGTAAATACTAATGCCTAATACTAAAATTAATTACTTTATTCACAATAATATCATCAAGTAATATATATTATAGGTAGACTGACTGTTTTCGCTCAGAATCGTTTTTCTTATACAATGATATTATATCATTGGATTCAAATTTAACACAATCCATTACAGTGACTCACTTGTAACCTACTGTAAAGCAGAGCGACATCCACTTACCCTATAGATTTTAAATAGGTACATAATTTTTTGAGTAGGTCTACCACCCCCCATGAATTGTGGTTCGGGACGGCCCTGATTGCCATACTTTACCGTACAAAAAACTGACTTACCTGTTACTACTGTATTCGAGCTGATCTTCTATTTGTTCCAATACGTGAAGAACTGACTTCTTTGACAGCCGATATCGTGTCACGAAATCTAGTTCATCTAGGTTTTCAAAATCGTTCGTCCTTTCCTTGATAAACCTAGGACGGCGATTCACGAAAATATCATCAAAGTCGTCATATTCTTCCTCGAGAACAAGTGCAAATGCACGCTTATGAGCGCGAGACATAGTTAAAACGATGAAGCACAAACAGTTAAAAAAAAAACAGTAGTAAAACGGTAGCTACAAAAAAATACGTAGCACGGATTAATAATATATTATAAACCGGGTTTATCACTATAACCGACTGAAATTGGACGGTTATCTTATAACTGACGTTTAGCGTTAAACGATCTTGGTGAAATCCGTTTAAATTAATTAATTCGTTTAAATAGATAATCGGCGTTTTCAAAAAAAGATAAACGCCGTTCTTACGTTGGTGAAAGCGGCCCTNGGAAATTATGTCCCCAAAAAAAGGTCATAGTCGTATACTTTTAAATTTTAAATAACGATTAACGCTAAAATTGTATAACGTTTTAATTATGAATAACGATAAACGCAAAAATTGTATAACGTTTTGATTGTAAGTAACGTAAAACAAAATTTATTTTTCAAATGCAAGCCCTGCATCAAAATACTTATTTAATATTTTGAACTCCTTTTTATCCAACAGAAAATTCTCAGTCAAAATAAATTACACTATTTCTGACCTCCAGCCTATTTCTGCTGGTGTACATCAATTTTCCAAGCTGGGATCTATCTCTTTCATTATTTTCATATTTGACATACCACAGTCACCAAGTAACCAAGATTGACCTTCTCGCAGAGATACAACAATTTATAGTGAATACCGTAATCTTGATTCGATAACATACAACCACAGGACCATCTTAATATACTTTCAAAGTGGTGTAAAAGCTGGAAAATTAAATATACGTTTCAAAAAGCACAGCAGTTATATTTAGCCTACATCTCTACCCCACTTCACTACCGCTAAAAGTCGATAATTAACCTATACCCTGGTAGCCGCCCATCATGTATCTCGGGGTTACACTAGACAAGAGGCTAACCTGGTGGCCACACATATCTACCAAATTTCAACGAGCTTACCTACGCATATAAATGCTATTATCAATTCTTAACAAAAAATCAGTTATACATAATAAATGCTCTATATATATTTATATATAAGAAACTATTACATTCACTACCAACTTAAGGTAGCCCAATCTAAGGTAGCTGCTCAGCAATCACACACATAAGTAAAATTCAAATTTCCCAAAGTAAAATACTTAAAATAATAACGAAAGCACCATGACTCATACGAAACGTTAACCTAAAGTCCAGATTTTGGAAATTCAGCGCACCGCCGAAGAGCCCTTGCTGCGAATTTCCATAGTTTACTTCATAAATCAACAAGTTCGTTACACTTTAATTTACACATACGTTCACCACCAGAGACGTCTCAAACAAGACCGTCCACAATATCGTATAAGTTAATTGTTACAATATTACTAAATTGTAGGTACGCATAATTATACCTATATAACCTATATATATATTATATAATATTATATTTACACATTTTCACTTTATGTGTATAATGTCTAATAAACCTTAAGTATCATTACTATTGTTCAATTATTAATTAATATTATCATGTTAAAATTGTCAATTGTCATAAAAACGATTCAATGCAATACTCAGACAATCAGTATTTACCAATATTCGATCATATTACAACAACTCTAAAACCTGAAGACCCGAAGACCATCAAACCAGCTCGAAGCCCAGCAGTAAGCAGCGTGACGAAACCGATCATAAAAGAGATCCGACTACACGGCAGTGATGCCCTAAGCACCAGCGCTCATCCAAAGGTCTCCAGAACCAGTAAACCAGAACACCAGAACCCCTCGATTCAGCAACACTGAGAATTGTAGGACCCCCCACTTGCATATTAAGTTGTGCCAAATCAGCCGTTAGGAGACGAACGGCCCGAAAACGCCGCTACACGACTACTCAGTCCTCGTCAAAGCTCCTCGTATGGAGCGGCATACAATAAGTCCTCCAGCCGGTTTATACATCGGCATACCAAGGGCATCGTCGAGTGTTGCCGGACCATAGATTGCACTCAACGACGACGACGACTTTGAGATCACTAGCCAACGGCAGGAAGCGACTCCACCAAGCCAGCCGAGGTAGGACGACGACACGCACTGCCGCATTCGGACGGCTCGAGCCCACACTCACCACCTACTCGTGGAAGGCCGATATCCCACTATCCCCCCAGGTCAATTGCTTAAGTACCACCGTTACTATAATATGGATATATTATTTCCCTTATATTGTCAAAAGGAATATACAACAGTGTTGGATGTGTACAAAGTTTCTCACACGCATCAGCCGGCTTGTGTAAGCCCAGCCGACGCAACCGTGACATTCACTGTCCTGATCTTTGTAAATAAATAACTATTTCTTTACTAAATACAAACAACACTTGATACTATAAACTATATTTTGTTATTTTACGAGACACCAGGTTACCACCGACCTTACCGATTCACTAAATACTCATCACATTTATCCATATTTCCTCGCCAACTTCACAATGTAATACCAACTATGCAAAAAACCAACAATTATACTGAATTATAAACATAGTCAATAAGGACCCATCACCTCTAATTTAAATATCTAGTACAAATAGTATTTATTATATTTGTTAATATTGTATTTAATTTTGCACGTTCCATATTGTTTATAAAATAAAATAAAAATATATAACATTGTCATAGGAACGGTATTCTAATTAAATAAACGTTTGTTTATTAGTATAAAGTATACTTATATTTTAGTGACTATTGTTAAAAATATATTTTAAATCTAATTTAATTTCTGTATTAATCTCAGCATGGGTAAACATCAGAAAACTGAGCTCAGCGCTGTAATAGCGCAGAAAAAGATTACTGACGAGCTAGCTATTGATGTTCGTTGTAAGGATATGTGCAAAACAATTCTGAATAAGGCAAATGTATTGATCTCCAGGCGTATGCATTTGGAGTCAGAGGAGATACATCTGTTCAGGAATATACAAAAAGTAAACGACCAATTGAAAATCAATAAAAGTCTCGAATAATGTTTTGTATTTTCAGGCTAAAGAAGCCCAGGCCAGACAAATCGCCGAGATGGAACAAGAACAAAAACTTGCTAAAGTAATGGCAGATTTAAAACGCCGGGAACTTGTCGAAATAAAATACGAGTTAGTTAATATTTTAAATCATGTTAATTTTAAATTGAAAAAAAAAATACTGTTTCATGTAGCCAGTTACATCGAAACAATTCCATCGAATTCCGACGTGAGGAGCGGCAACTACAAGCGGCTTATACAAAAAAATACTTAATGTGTCAAATTAAAGAAAAAGAAGCTTTAAAAAAAGAAGAGGAAGCCAAATTATATTATGATGATTTGAGAAGAAAATTAAGCAATGATGAAAATAAGAAGGAAAAAGAACTACAAACCAGACAAAATGAACTCAAGTTAGATTATAAAAAGGCGATTACAGAGCAAATACAGGAGGACACCGCCAAAAAACAACGATTATTATTAAAGAACCAGCCTTATGAATTTATTGAAACAACTAGAAGTAGTGAAGTCGAAAAAAAAAATGTTCAAAAAAATTGTGCTCAAAGAAACCTGGAAGCATTTACAAAAAGGAAAAATGAGCTAAAAGAAACTGAACTCAAAGAATCCGAAAAAACAAATAAGTAAGAATTAGGACAGTGTTTCTTAAATAAGATTTGAAATAGTGTGCATATTATTGTACTTTGTCTTTACATTTGTGCGTAGGCGTAAAGAGGAGTATTTGATGGATATTGATAAGCGCAATAAACAACAGGAAGAATTTAAAAACCAGAGAAAAGTAGAAAATGATAGAATCTATAATTGCTTAGTCGATAATTTAACATCGTTAACGGTAAATATAATTATTATATTATATTATAATTATATAGTTAATATAATTCCATTGAAAAATTCCAATCATAATATAATAATGTTATAATATTATACTGTAAGTACTGAATATTTTTATATTATTTTTGTACTTCTATACGTTTATTTTAATTTACAGACAAATACACCAACAAATAGAGAAATGCTTGATATTCTCATACACGAACAACAACGAAGGGCCAATCGGCTTGCAGAAAAAAAAGAAAAAGATCTGAAAATTCAACATCGTGAAAATATGCTGAAGCAATACGAAATGCAACTAAACATTAAAAAAGAGAAAGAGAAATCAGAGAAAGAAAAAGATTATGCTCTAGACAAAAAAGTATCATAAATAAAATTATTAATTATTAATGTTTCTAAAACCCGTATAGGTATCTAATATTTAGTACATCACAGATATTGCAATACTATCAAGTAATTAAAGAGGCAGAGGAGAAAAAAAACGCTGAGCAGCGGAAAAAGATGATCAATTATGGAAAAGAGTTAAAAATATCGATCGATCTGAAAACCGATCTGAGAAAAAAACAGAAGGAGGTTGCGATGAACGAATTTTCGGAAGCTGCTAAAGAAGAAGCTGAGGTAACTCCATTGCCATATTTTTCAATTAAACCATTTAACTATTATCATAATATAGTAATATAATAATGTATAGAAAAATATAATCTTCAATAACAGTGTTCAATGTACAACTTAAGAGTTGTTTTATTATTTTATATACATACGAAGTTTTTCTTAAAGTAGGTACCTGATTTTTTTTTTTAAATACAAAAATTAAGTAACACATTATTTAATGATATATCAATCAAAATACTCTCCTGCGGTAATGGTCCAGAGTAGGAATCTTGCCATTTTTCGAAAGTCCTTTGGAAATGTTCCGAAGTTAAGACTTTAAAGTCTGTTGCAGTGGCATTGACTTAAATTTCCTCTATATCTTGAAATAGTTGTTCTACAAACGCACATTTTAGTCACTTTAAAATAAAATAAATCACATAGGGTCAAATTGGGATAATATGGAAGTTTTGAAAATTAATCATAATATTGATATACTTATATAGTATAATAGTATCATTCCTGGCGCACCTCCTATTTTAATCAGCAAAACATCACATAGAAAACAATGTGAAAAAACATCACGAAATTTAAATGTTATAATAATTAAAATATTTTTCATAATAATAATTATTTCTATAATTGATTATATTCCTGAAAAAATTTTTTTCCGAAAAATCCAAAAATCGCGGCCTCGCACTGTGGTCTGAAACGTTATTTTAGTCGCTCAAAAGTCCTATTACAAATTTATCAAAAAAAAAAATAATGTCAAAACCTTAATATCATATGTTCCTTAGCTCAAATATAAAATTTTACAATCCTACATTTATTTTTACCATGAGTATAATTATTTGAACATGGACAATTGTACGTGTTACACGATTTTTTCGTTATTTTTTATGAAACTTTATATTTTATTAATTATCAGGGAAATATAATTTTTTTTTTTGAATTTTTTTTTAAATTTTTTTTTTCATGTTATTTTCTATATGTGTATTGATTATATTAGACAGGTAAAAATATATTTATTAAAATTTTTTTTTTACAATCCAAAGTTATTAGGAAATATTTAAAATTTTAAGATTTTTATTTTTTTCTGAAGCGTGTAAATAAAAATTTCTCAATTTTACACAAAATCGGATATGTACATAAAATAAAAAATATTATTTTTTTTTTGCTTCCATTGGGAATTATAGCGTACAGAAATTATTTCTGTATGGCTTATCGTAATATTTGCTTCGAAACATGAATTGTGTAGGAAATTTATGAACTTTGGTAATTGAATTGGGTATTTTTATGTCATAAACAGATAAGATAATTTTATGATTACCAATAAATTTATATTGATAATATACATTTGAACGTTTTGTCTTTAGTCATTGTGTAGACTGCAGTTGTGTAAACGTGCAGTAGAAACGACAGTATTTTTAGTAAAATATTACTTATTAAATTAAGTAATTTGTATAACATAAAATATAAGCTATATTTGATATAATGGATAGCCAATTTGAAGGTAAGAGAAAATCTATATATATTTTTAATATTTTTTGGTAAATATAATTATTCTAAATCGGTTAGGTGTCTGTCATACCTTTATGATAATATCAAGTAAATAATAATTTAAAATAAATATTACCTATTTAAAAAAAATATATATAATATTATAGAACTCATTTACCTTTCCATCAACCATTGTAAATACTAAAGTATGCTTAACTATTATTTCTGTAACATTAAATATTATGTGTGAAGCCAACAAATTTTTTATTTGGTCTTCATAGCATTTACATCGTGTAATGTAGTAACTTTCGTTTCTTTTTGAAATTTAAACTTTATTGGTCTACAAAACCGTGTAGAAGAAGTTCTTCTATTTTTCCATATTATATGTTTTTCATTTGTTTCATTAAAAGAGTGCAACTGGAGAGGAACAATTGAAAAAAGAAATAAATCACTGTCAGAGCATTCGTTTGAATCACTATACAGTTGTTTATATAGTTACTGTACATTACTTCCATCATAACCAAATTTATAAATAATTTCAAATTCTTTTAAATAATTTTCATTAAAATTTATTGAGTGAATTTCAAATATTCTTTTTGAGGTGTGGTTAAGAAAATCCTGCAGTTTTATTTCACAAAAAGTTTCAGATACTATACAATTTTCAGGATAACACAATGCTTTTGCTGCAATAATTGTATCGTATCCACCATAGATAGATATCATCAATATGTTGTTTCGCTGTTAATCTTATATTCAAATATTGATTTTTTGTTAAATCATTTTCAATAAAAAATGCCAACGCTTCATCAGCCGTAAGTGGTATGATTTTTGAAGAGTTTAATTTGGCGTGAGACTTCAAAAGATCTGAAGCTTTATCAGATGAAGTTACCCTTTTAAAAAGTTGGACCATATTTCGCTGTCCAGCCATTAAAAATGTATTTTGTGAAGCGTAATGTATTTCAGGAGTCGTCATATTATTAGAATTAGCTATTGACATATTATTTTTTCGTCTTTTAGAACTATCTGCACATTCGTTAAACTTTTTAATAGGTCTACCAATGTTTAAGGACATTGAAACGTATTTTGAAGTATGAATCAAGCCATTCAGTATGAATTTTTTTAAATTTATTATTATTCCGGCAAGCTTTTATCCATTTTTTTGATAATGCTAAAGAAAAATTTAAAATTTCATTTTTTATTGTATTAATATAAACACTGTTCCACTTCAAACCATTGAATTTATTTTGAATAAAAATAAAAAATAATTGTATTGTACTAACAGTTGTCACAGATTGCATAGAACATTTATTACCTACAACTTCATACATTTCACGATTCAAAATAAATTTTTTACGCTTATTGTTAGTTACGAGATCAACTGAAAATTCGTAATAAAAACCGATTTAGCATAATTATATTTATCAAAAAATATTAAAAATATATATAGATTTTCTCTTACATTCAAATTGGCTATCCATTATATAAAATATAGCTTATATTTTATATTATACAAATTACTTAATTTAATAAGTAATATTTCACTAAAAATACTGTCGTTTCTACTGCACGTTTACTAGAGGTCTGCACGGGCTGACAATTTACAGCCTGGCCCAGCCCGGTAATATTATTTGTCATCCCGGCCCGGCCCGGGTATAGTTTGTTGTGAGTAAGCCCGGCCCGAACCGGCCCAGTAAATTTTTTAGAAAGCCCAGCCGGCGCCCACGAATAGTTTTAGACGAGTAAGCCCGGGCTGGTCCAACCACGGGTGCCTGACCCAACAGACCGGTACACATAGTTAGACCAGCCAATTTAAACAATATTTTTCACAAAATTGAAAAGCAAAAATAATTAAAAAATATTTGATATTCCAAAAATTATCGAACTGTACTTTGACTATCCCAGTCTCAACTATCTTTTACTATATAATTTGTGTAAAATGTTGGTTTAGATTTTAAAAGTTATACAATTTATAAAAAAACAGATATTTAAATTCTGTGTCTGTTGAGCTGTTAAACTAATGCCATAGATTTCGGGGTTGAGATGTTTGAAAGTGTTTGAGCTGTAGAAAATATGGCATAGATTTTTGGATTTGATCTTAATATCTTAGAAGTTAGGATTTCTGGAAAACTTGAATATTGTTAGTAAAATGTATTATTCATTAATATGTTCCTGAAAATATATTACATTATTTGGTCCTACTAAAAAAGAAATTGAATTTGTAATTTTAAAATATTAAAGAATATGAAATTGATATGGATTTCAAAAATAAATATATTCTTAAAGTATATAAAGATTATAATCCCTGTGATCGAACTAACTCGTACGATTTTTCAAAAAAATTATTTTATTTTTAAAATCCCGTACAATATTCAAATTCAACCTACATGCCTTTGGAAGATTATGTTTATAATAAAATCACAGATTTACCAGATTTCAGAAAAGAATATTATATGACGAAAATAAAAAATATTAATGCTCATCTAGCTGTTTTAGATAGACAAATTGAAAACGATTCCATAAGACATTTTGGTGAAATTTTTGATGCTATGGAGCTTGAAATATCTATAATAATTTAAATATTATAATTTTAAAATTCTAATAATGTTGCATTATAAAAATCTGGTTTACACTGTTCAAATTAATATATTCCTCTTATTTTATTTATTGTCTTATATAATATTACTATATGATAATTCTAATAATGTTACATTATTAAAACTTAATTTTATAGAATTTTGTCGTAGGTGTTATCTGTTCATGGATGTCGGATTCTGCTTAAATTGTTTGTAGCTGAAAAATAAACTTTTTATACAATTAGTAAAATGTATGTCTTATAATATTTAAGAATTCAAGACGAATTGAATGTCCATGTGCCGCTCAATGTCATTATATAATTATTATTCTGAATTAATTTATACATTCGTTAAAAATATTCTCAAAAACACTTAATTAAAAACGAGAGTATGTAATAAAAACCGATTTAGCATAATTATATTTACCGTTAACGATGTTAAATTATCGACTAAGGAATTATTGATTCTATCATTTTCTACATTTCTCTGGTTTTTAAATTCTTCCTGTTGTTTATTGCGCTTATCAATATCCATCAAATACTCCTCTTTACGCCTACGCACAAATGTAAAGACATATCATGGTTTTTGTAGATAACAACATTTTCCACTTGACCAAAAAAAGCTCGTCAAGTAAGGTTAAATGTCAAGACAATGAAAATCGTTAATTTTAAATTATTTTTATTTTTATTTTTAATTGATGGTATTGATCATCTTGAATTATTGACCATAGACGAACAGTCAATCATGTTTTTTAAAAAGGTGAATTAATACGGCTGAGAGGATAGTTCGCAAAAAATACACAGACAAATTGTGAACAGAAACCTGGGTTCTTCATTACGACAATGAGCCAGCATATTCAGAGCAGTCGATTCGTGAATTTTTTAATGATAAAAATATACTAGTGGTCCTGCAGCTTCCATATTATCCCAATTTGACCCTATGTGATTTATTTTTATTTTAAAGTGACTAAAATGTGCGTTTATAGTACAACTATTTCAAGATATAGAGGAAATTTAAGTCTATGCCACTGCAACAGACTTTAAAGTCTTAATTTCGGAACATTTCCAAAGGACTTTCGAAAAATGGCAAGATTCCCCTCTGGACCACTACCGCAGGAGAGTATTTTGATTGATATATCATTAAGTAATGTGTTACTTAATTTTTGTATTTAAAAAAAAATTCAGGTACATTGTGAACAAACTTCGTATGTATATAAAACAACTCTTAAGTTGTACATTGAACACTGTTCTTGAAGATTATATTTTTCTATACATTATTATATTACTATATTATGATAATAGTTAAATGGTTTAATTGAAAAATACGTAATGATTTTACCTCAGCTTCTTCTTTAGCAGCTTCTGAAAATTCGTTCATCGCAACCTCCTTCTGTTTTTTTCTCAGATCGGTTTTCAGATCGATCGATATTTTTAACTCTTTTCCATAATTGATCATCTTTTGCCGCTGCTCAGCGTTTTTTTTCTCCTCTGCCTCTTTAATTACTTGAAAGTTTTGCAATATCTGTGATGTACTAAATATTAGATAGCTATACGGGTTTCAGAAACATTAATAATTAATAATTTTATTTATGTTACTTTTTTGTCTAGAGTATAATCTTTTTCTTTCTCTGCTTTCTCTTTCTCTTTTTTAATTTTTAGTTGCATTTCGTTTTGCTTCAGCATGTATTTACGATGTTGAATTTTCAGATCGTTCTCTTTTTTTCTGCAAGCCAATTGGCACTTCGTTGTTGTTCGTGTAAGAGATTATCAAGCATTTCTCTATTTGTTGGTGTATTTGTCTGCAAATTAAAATATACGTATAGCAGTACAAAAATAATATAAAAATATTCCGTACTTACAGTATAATATTATAACATTATTATATTATGATTGGAATTTTTCAATCGAATTATATTAACTATATAGGTAATTATAATATAATAACATAATTATATTTACCGTTAACGATGTTAAATTATCGACTAAGGAATTATTGATTCTATCATTTTCTACATTTCTCTGGTTTTTAAATTCTTCCTGTTGTTTATTGCGCTTATCAATATCCATCAAATACTCCTCTTTACGCCTACGCACAAATGTAAAGACAAAGTACAATAATATGCACAATATTTCAAATCTTATGTAAGAAACACTGTCCGTTCGGATTCTTACTTATTTGTTATTTCGGATTCATTGAGTTCAGTTTCTTTTAGCTCATTTTTCCTTTTCGTAAATGCTTCCAGGTGTTTTTGAGAACAATATTTTTAAATCTTTTTTTTTTCTACTTCACTACTTCTAGTTGTTTCAAAAAATTCAAAAGGCTGGTACTTTTATGATAATAATCGTTGTTTTTTGGCGGTGATCTGCTGTATTTGCTCTGTAATCGCCATTTTATAATCTAACTTGAGTTCATTTTACCGGGTTTGTAGTTCTTTTTCATCTTATTTTCATCATTGCTTGACTCTTTTCTTCTTAAATCATCATAATATAATTTGGCTTCCTCTTCTTTTTTTAAAGCTTCTTTTTCTTTAATTTGACACATTAAATATTTTTTTTTGTATAAACCGCTTGTAGTTGCCGCTCCTCACGTCGGAGTTCGGGAGAATTGTTTTGATGTAACTGGCTACGTGAAACAGTATTTTTTTTTCAATTTAAAATTAACATGATTTAAAATATTAACTAACTCGTATTTTATTGCAACAAAATCCCGGCGTTTTAAATCTGCCATTACTTTAGCAAGTTTTTGTTCTTGTTCCATCTCGGCGATTTGTCTGGCCTGGGCTTCTTTAGCCTGAAAATACAAAACATTATTCGAGACTTTTATTGATTTTCAATTGGTCGTTTACTTTTTGTATATTCCTGAACAGATGTTTCTCCTCTGACTCCAAATGCATACGCCTGGAGATCAATACATTTGCCTTTTTCAGATTTGTTTTGCTCATATCCTTACAACGAACATCAATAGCTAGCTCGTCAGTAATCTTTTTCTGCGCTATTACAGCGCTGAGCTCAGTTTTCTGATGTTTACCCATGCTGAGATTAATTCAGAAATTAAATTTGATTTTAAATATATTTGTTAAAAACATATATTTGTATTGCTTAAGTTGAAAATAAAATAATTTTTTTGAACAATCGTATGGTAAAGTTCTATCCCACGGATGATAATCTATGTATTCGTTGTCTTTATTTTTAAAATCCATATATATATATCTTAATTATTTATCATCAAAACATTTTTTAAATACAAACTCAATTTTTGAATGTCCATAGGATTGTTAGTGTAATTAACCCGAATTATTGTCTTAAGAATGTGATCAACCTAGTACACCGTACACCGCACATGCGCACAAGCCCTATCGGATTGTACAATAATTTTTAATTATACTTGCGCCTGCGAGTTATTAACACACCGCGTACTATCATAGTACAACTTAGTAGTATCTACTTACAATAGATCTATTATAGTCTAGCTGATTATAATTTATAAGTCTATTTGGCGTTAGTCAATGCAGTATACAATAATGAAGTTGTAATTATATGGTATGTGTTAATAACAATGTTTTTGGTCGCAAGAAATGGCGTCACTGCTGGCACGCAAGGAAAGACCGCACCACACACCCGCATCCCATCTGGATTTCCCGTCCATTTAGTATAAGGTCTATGATGCGTACACTCATTTTTCATATTGCGCATGCATTTATAGTTTATTGATAGTTGAAACACGCGTGAAATTTGAATTGTGCCAATAAGAACACGATATTAAAGAGCCGGGCTGTGGCGTCCTAGGTTTCCTAATACGCGCATCGAGACATTGGCCACCCCGGTCACCTCAACGGGGACCCGCTACTGCCGATCAGTTTAGCGGGATCAGAGACTCGAGACAACTTACAGTAAGATCGTCTACGACACCCCCACTTTCCCCCCAAGCGCGCCTGCCTTGGCCACGCTCTCCCGCCTGGGACTATTAATCGACGCCACTTTTTCGAGCGGGCTGATCAATAGCCACCCAGGTTCCCCGACTCTGTACATACCAACCATACCCGTCATCAATGTAAAGCCGCCTCGTACCCGAGATTTATATTTATATAATCACGGGAACGTGTGCCGCCAAAACCCCATAACTTGTAAATATAATTTGTGTAAAATACAACCAGTTAATTACCCAAGAATTCGCTTGTGTTAATTATTACAAGTGACGGAGCATCGACCTCGTCGGCTCCGTTACAAGTAATATTTTTTTTTTTTTTTTATTCATGTTACAGCATCAACTGCTAAGGTTATTAGCTTGCAACAAAAATTGGTTATTAGTACATAATAGAGTATAGTTATACAATAAATTCTTAAATAAAATTATACATATCAATTTGTTTTAAAAATATGATTATTTTGTTGGTGTTGTCATGGATAGGACTGAGAGCTTCAAAGAGGTTGTGGGGCAATTTTAGACTTTTTCTGGTATCTATATGGATACGGCAGTGGATAAGGAGGTGCTTGACTGTGAGAGACTTGATGTCCACGAGACATCTTTGAGTGACCTATACGTTATCTATTGATAACTACTTCACCTTTGCGATTTGATGTATGGGGTTTAGGCCAGTATTCGGTAGTATTTTTCATTTCTCTCAGTTTGTTATTGGGTGTATGACGCCATTCAGATTCCCATAAATTGGTACAAAAGGTGTTGACATTCCTTTGGATGTCGATGAGTGAGGATTACGTGCGTATTTCGGTCAGAGGGTTATTTACTGCTTCACGAGCTACTTTGTCAGCTTTCTCATTGCCATCAATTCCATAATGGTCAGGTGTCCATATGAACCGTATATTCTTGTTGGCTTTTTCAATGATGTTGCTTATTTTGATTGCTAGGATGCTTGAGTGTAAATTATATTTCAGATTGTTGCCGACCCCTGATTTAGAGCGCTGAGCGAATCTGTACAAATGTTAATGGTGGAATCGGGTAGTTGAATGGCTAGATGGACTCCTTCCAGGAGTGCAAAGTATTCCGCCGTATATATACTGTTATGGTCTGGTAATTTGTACGATATGGATTGCTCTCCGTTTATGATAGCGATCGCAACACCTGAGTTTGTTTTGGAGTCATCTGTATAGATTTGTGGTTTAGATGGAAAAGAGTCCATGATTTCATTGAATAAATTTTTGTATATAACATTTAACGTTTCTTTTTTACTATGATCCGCTAGACTGGT